TAAGGGTAGATGTTGACTCACTTTGCGGAGATGACATTGCCAAAGAAGACCTCCTGGACATCAGATGGCTTGATTCCAGCCGCCTTGCTGAGCGCAGCTAGATTTCGAGTCTGTTAGAACGTCGACATGTACCATTACCCGAGAGCTGTCATACCTTTGATGGCATGGGAGCCAAGCTGCGGGGCAGTGAGACTGGAGAGCGAGCTGTAGAAGCGGATAGCCAGTGTAAGTCAATGTTGTAGATATAGACAAAGCACAAGGCCACCCTCACCCCAAGAAAGAGCCCACTGGAGTACGAGCAGAGGAAACAATATAGACCGGCGGAAGAGAAGACATATCGGCCTGCGAGAGCTGATTAGAAGACCCTTAAACGAAAAGCTTATGTAGGGTGAGACGTTTAAAGGGGTTCAGTGCGTGGTGAAGGGTACCCGGGTTGATAGAACCTGCCGGCAATAACCAAGATTGATGGGGTTAAACGGGGGAAGGAAGGGGAAAAGAAAGAAGTAATTTCTTCAGCCAACGATGACAGTGAGGTATCTGAACAAGTGGTGAGAAATCAAGTCCTTTAAGGACCCCTCCCTGGACGCGGCATCTGCGCGGCGGGGCTACCAAAATGGTAGGGTTGGTGCACGGACCACCCAGTCCATTGGACGGACATCAGCAGCTTGGAACAAAAAGAGATGCGACGGCTCACTGGTGACAGGTTTTTGGCAGCTTAAACCATCTTCCCCACAACACAATGGATGATCTCTACGATGAGTAAGTTGTACCAAATTCAACGCTCTTATTGTGTGGATTCTAATTAAGACCACACAGGTTTGGCAACTATATTGGAGAGGCTGCAGATTCAGATGAAGAAGGACAACACGAAGAAGTGAAGCCTCAGGCTTTCGCCTTCGACGAAGCATTTGGGGAAGAGGAAGATGAAGAAGTATATGGGCAGCAGCCCATGGAGGTGGACGGTGGGCACTCTCTTATAGTCCCTGAATTTGGCCGGTGCTGATATATATCATTACAGAAGGTCCCTCAAATGCCGTCATTCTACACGAAGACAAACAATACTACCCCAGCGCACAACAAGTCTACGGGACAGAGGTAGAGACACTGGTTCAAGAAGAAGATACACAGCCTCTCTCCGAGCCTATCGTTGCCCCCGTACAGCAAAAGAAGTTCGCCATTGAAGAGACTGAGCTCCCTCCGGTTCACTTTTCAAGGGAATTCATGACTGATCTTCTGAATTACCCTGATCAAATAAGAAATATTGCGCTTGTCGGTCACTTACATCATGGGAAGACCGCGTTCATGGATATGCTTGTAATGCAGACGCATGATTTGGCTGAACGGCTAGAGAAGCGAGCAGGTAAAAGAAAGGAAGTACAGCTTCGCTATACCGATGTTCACTTTCTAGAGAGAGAGCGAGGCCTCTCTATTAAATCAGCTCCTATGAGCTTAGTTCTTCAGGGCACCAAGGGGAAGTCTCATTTGTTCAACATTCTTGATACCCCGGGGCATGTGAATTTTGTGGATGAAGTCGCTGCCTCATCGCGACTGGCTGATGGCGTGGTGATAGTCGTTGATATTGTGGAAGGAGTGCAGTCGAATACCGAGCAAATCATCAAGCACGCTGTGCTAGAAGGCCTTCCGTTAACCATGGTTGTTAACAAAATGGATCGGCTGATCCTCGAACTGAAGATACCACCCAACGACGCGTATTTCAAGCTCAAACACGTGATTGAAGAAGTCAACACTGTCATTGAAAGTGTCTTGCCTGGACAAGGCGGAAGATGGCGACTTAGCCCGGAAAAGGGCAATGTCGCGTTTGCGTGCGCTTCAATGGGATGGTGTTTTACCCTTCAATCATTTGCCAGGATGTATGCCGAGACCTACCCTCAAATTGAGACTTCAGATTTTGCTCTACGTCTTTGGGGCGATATCTTTTTCAACCCAACAAGCCGGAAATTCACGCGGAAAGGGACTGAAGAAAATTCTAAGAGAACTTTTGTCAAATTTGTTCTTGAGCCAATATACAAGCTCTATTCCCACGCCATAAGTGAGAGTCCAGAAGACCTGAAACAAACACTCGCAAATGTCGGCATCCAAATGAAACCATCTCAAATGAAATCAGACGCAAAGGAGCTACTCAAACTGGTTTGCGGACAGTTCTTCGGCCCTGCTACAGGGTTCGTAGACATGATAGTACGGCATGTACCTTCTCCAGTTGAGGGTGCGCAGATGAAGCTGGACCGGTACTACACTGGACCCCTCGATTCGAAAGTGGCAGCTGCTATGACTACATGTAATGCAGATGGCCCTCTCATTGTCCATATCACGAAGCTCTTCACGAGCACGGACGCCTCAAGTTTCAATGCATTTGGAAGAATTATGAGCGGGACTGCTCAGCCCGGACAACAAGTTCGAGTGCTGGGTGAGGGTTATACACCTGAAGACGAAGAAGATATGGTGACTGCAACTATCTCGGACACTTGGATTGCCGAGACTGGCTATAACATCATGACCAGCGGTGTTCCGGCCGGAAATTTGGTTCTCTTGGGTGGCGTGGACAATTCAATCGTGAAGACAGCGACTATCGTGCCTCTGAAACTTGAGGATGACGAAGAAGCATACATATTTAAACCAATTCGACATATGACAGAGTCTGTCTTCAAGGTCGCTGTTGAGCCTGTTAACCCGTCTGAATTGCCAAAAATGCTTGATGGTCTCCGTAAAGTCAACAAGAGCTATCCTCTAATTTCAACCAAAGTTGAGGAGTCTGGTGAGCATGTCATCTTGGGAACCGGTGAGCTTTATATGGACTGCGTACTTCATGACTTGCGACGGCTCTTCTCCGAGATGGAGATTAAAGTCTCGGATCCTGTCACCCGCTTCTGTGAAACTGCTGTTGAGACTTCAGCCATCATGTGTTATTCTATCACACCAAACAAAAAGAACAAGATAACCATGATTGCAGAACCTTTGGACGACGGGATCGCAGAGGACATTGAGCGTGGCAAAGTCAGCATCAAAGACCCAATTCGCAAAGTGGCACGTTTTTTCGAAGACAAGTACGATTGGGATAAACTAGCAGCTAGAAGCATTTGGGCCTTCGGTCCAGACGAACTAGGACCTAACATATTACAAGATGATACGTTGCCATCCCAGGTTGATAAGAAGCTTCTCGGAAGCGTCAGAGACTCTATCACCCAAGGTTTTAGCTGGGGTACTAGGGAAGGTCCACTTTGTGAAGAGCGTAAGTTAACCAATCTCATAAGCCCAGTCAACCCGAAGCAACACGGCACCAAGCTTGAAATTATATCTATCAATTCCAGTATTTTTTGTGCTAATTGGCTATAGCAATTCGAAACACGAAATTCAGGCTCACAGATGTTTCCCTTGCCGACCAGGTTATCTACAGAGGTGGTGGTCAAATCATTCCCACTGCGCGACGCGCAATTTATTCATCGTTTCTCATGGCATCTCCTCGCTTGATGGAACCCATCTATTCCTGCACGATGACAGGACCTGCGGATGCCGTCGCTTCGGTGTATACTGTCCTTGCGCGCAGGAGAGGCCATGTCCTCTCCGATGGGCCCATCGCCGGAACACCGCTTTATTCAGTTCGTGGCCTAATTCCAGTGATAGACTCATTTGGGTTCGAGACAGATCTTCGGATTCACACACAAGGTCAAGCTGCAGTTAGTCTTGTCTTCGACAAATGGAGTGTCGTTCCAGGGGACCCGCTGGATCGTGATGTCAAGATAAAACCACTAGAGATGGCCCCTGCAATGGCCACTGCTCGAGATTTCGTGCTAAAGACAAGAAGACGAAAAGGCTTGGCGGAGGATGTCACCGTAAGCAAGTTCTTGGAGCCCGAACTCTGGAGAGGCCTGAAGGAAAGCGGCGTTTTGGACTCATGACCTGTTTATCTCTGGGGTTCAGTGGTATGCCATAAATTCCATGTAGTTATATTAATTGGATGGAATAAAAGATGACCGAGTGTTCTTATGAAAACAACGCCAAGTGATATATACTATGAGCGCGACAAGAGCGCTACTTTTTAGCCTGGCAGATAGTTCAAGTTCACTGGCATGTCTCTAGCATCTTCGCGATAACGCCCATTAGTGTTCCGTTTTCCAGAGCAGCGGCCACTCGTTCTTTGTCCGCCAGCTGCTTGTTCACTTCATCAGCAGTGCTGTGTGTCCCTTCTTTGATTCGCACATCCACACGAAACCGTGGAGGAAGAGACTGCTCAAGCCGAACACGTACACCGAGACCTATGACTGTGGCGAGGCTACAGTGGGTGATAGTAGGGGTGATGAGGACAGTAACTGTTCGAAGGGGCGAAGCTGGTACGTATGGGAGTGTTGGGGTAATAGATATATCAGGAAGAGACACAACCGCTAAAGCTCCCAACGATATCGGATGCTCCGGATCAGATATAGTTGACACGAGATCTAGTGATTAATAAGTTGTTTTGTTTGACGTTTCTTTGACAAGCAGCCACGCCTTACCGTAGATTTCTTGTTCATCTATCGGTTCTTCCAACAGATCATCATCATCACCCTCTGAAGATGAAGATGAAATAAAGCTCTCTGAGAGAAATTCACTCGCATACACAGAGGGAAGTGCGGATGCAAAGATATCATTCCCAAAGATACCAGGCTTGCGAGACAGTGCAGGTCGCAAGCGTGTTGGAAGATCAGCAGCATTCAATATTGTAGGATTCGAGTTCTGCATTTCTGATGCCATTTTGTGGGTAAACAAGCAGCCGTCAGTCTTTGTTTGCGGGGTGGGAAATCAGTCTAGGATACAAATGTAATGTTTTTTTAGACGAGGGGTAAATTTACTATGGGGATGGAGAACGGCCATGTGGAAAAATTATTTTCCCTTCATTGAATCTAAACTGTATGAATCCAGCGTACGAGCTTGGTATAAAACATCCTAGATCCATTTCTCAGGCATCTGATAGAATCCAAAATTGTTCCTTATCATGGGCAATTGTTTGAGTCTCTTTGTGCGTTGAAAAACATATCCTTCTACCATTAGTGTTCTTGTTCACACTGATAGGGGTAAGATTAATGCCTTTTTAAGGTCGAGAGTGAATTTTGTAAACCAACCTACGTCAAGGAATAAGACAAGTAGCGCGAGTGATGTTGTTAAACTCCCTGTGATGGTATATACATGACGCGAAGCTTGTACGATTATAGTCAGGATATCGAGGAGAGTGCTTCTATAAGTCACTTTCATGAGTTGGTGCTGGATGGTGGTGTTGCATGTACAGTACCTAGGCACTGCCTGATCGATCAGATAACCACTGGTGTAACTGCCAGAAACCTATAGTAATATTCGTCCCGCCAGCCGTTAATATGGCTCATATGGGATCATGATCCTAGCCAAAAAGGACCGGACTTGCATATCCTAGCCCCTATCTTGTTGACACAACATACTAACCCAAGCCTGGGGAGTGCCTAGGGAGACTAGGACATTGAATTTTCTAAAAGCTACACATTAGCACTAAAAGCAAGACATGTATAGAGAGAGAGAGAGAGCATCAACTCAAGTATGAGGTATATCTTCATTTTAGAGATAGGAACTTCCTCCCGAGCTTGAAGAGTCCTACCAGTTATCTAAATTCTACAACACTACTCCGTAGTCACATCTATCCTATACACTCGGAGATATTATTCATCGTGCTCCAGAATACTATACTATGATTATAGTATGCAATTGTTGAGCAAAAGTGATGATCAAATAAATTAGCGCAGAGTAAAAGATGTAACCCGAGAACTAGTAGGCTAGTGATAGACTAGCATACAACTTACTCCGTACGGCGTACTCTCCATGGAATGAATCAACGAGTCATGGAAACTTGGCAGGGCATCATCATGGCTCTTGGCACTTTCGGTCGCTACTAGTACAGTAAAGTACTGAAGAGCGGCAATCATGCGGCCCCTCAACATCCGAGGCGATCCTCTCCTCACCTGCGCCTAGGCTAGTTGACTCTTTTACTCGCACCCACTTCTTCCTTGAGGGCTGATCGTGTTTATCCACTCTTCTATTATTGTGGTTGGTTTCGCCACTACCCTTTTCCATCATTGTTCGATATTTTCGACCTGTATATCATACTATCTGGCTACTATGAGACGCCAGGCATCTATCAGTTAATCAGGGGCGTAACATCGGCGACGCGGCATGCGAAATTCATCGTATTGGTGGGCTTCTAATTCCCCTGATGCTAGATTGTATCGCGCCCTCCAGTGTCAAGTTTTGGACCATCAGCTTCTGGCAGCCTTGGTGGCCTTTTCTGCGTTCTTCCCTTCTAGTGTTTCCCGCACAGTAGCCCGAGGTTCGCACAGTTCATTCAAATGCTGACTGTAAATCGGGGGGTGATGCGCCGGCTCAGTTCGCTTTTCTACAGCAAACCCCAACAGAGAGTCTCAATACACTGACGGTGTCAAGTCACGATGCAGGCTGGTTAAGCTTCCAGTCTTTCTATTGTAAGGTATTTTCAACTTGGACGGCCGTCTCCTTCCCCTCGTTTCATTGCTACCACGCTCGATATCACTACCTATCGGCAGACCTTTCGCCAATTTGTTGCTAAGGAACTGCTGTGCCATCGCTTGCTGACACGTTGAAGCGTTATTTCACTTCCTAATCACTCCCTCATTGACTGCTTCCCGTCCTTATCCCCGCACCATAACTCCAAGGCTCGGCTGACATTTCGCAGTGTAAGGCCAGGTTCTCTTCTAAGACTTTGCGCTTTTCGCGAATGAATCGACTATTGTCCATTCAATCTCACACTGGATTGTTGTCATCAGTTTCGCCTTATCAAAACCGTAGGCAATTTTATCACTATTGTCACGCCGCAAGTTTCCCGGACCCTTGAATCTTCAAAAAGTCGCTTCTTTGCTGCTTTCTTTACGGTAGCAAGCCAGAACATTTGTCGCTTTTGCGGAAAAATATAAGATTGAAACCAAAACGTCCAACTATTGCGAGAAGGAAAGCAACCATTACCACGGAGCTTTGTTGTCTAGTTTTCTTCTCCAAGTATTCCTTTCGCGCGTCTTCATCGCCTTATAGCTCCTATCTTGCAAGCCGACACCAATTGCCTAGGCGTTTTGCGCCCGGAGGAGAAGCAAAAGCGCATTATTATAAGTGACGACACATCGAGAGACAGAATCCACCATATACCTTGCATCATCTCTTGTCTCAGGTTGTTAAACGTGTTCAGTATTCTTCATTTTAGCCCTCTCTTCAACCCGTCGATTTGTCCTCCCTATCTTCCTCCATTCTTGTCTCTCTCCTTCTCTTGCCCCCCCCCCCCCCCCCCCCCGCCTCTCTCCCTCCCTCTCTCTCTCTCTCTCTCTGTGTGTGTGTGTGTGTGTGTGTGTGTGTGTGTGTTCAGATTTATCTAGACAAGGCAGGCCTTGAAGATAAATTGTCAAGCATTATTATTATCCCTATTGAGTCACCTGAACTTTGTGGTGAGAATTGCTCTTCGTTTCTATAATTCCGATTTGGAAATGCAGGGCTATTCATTAACGCCGCCGACAGGGCCCCCAAGAGAAGGCCACAAAAGTAAGGCATCAGTGTTACTCTATATATAGATGAAGCGCAACGAAAATTCGGTTGGAGCCAGTCACTGATAAGCTTTAATCAACAGACTATGTATTCGTTGACGAACACAACAGACATAAAAGACTCAAGGGTATGTCACCCTCCTACTCAACGTTAAATTCCTATTCACTAAAATGTCTCATTTAGTGATGCGAGCGTGTAATGGCTGCAGAAAGCGTAAAATCAAGTGCGACGCAGCTACAACAAATACATGGCCTTGCTCGGCCTGCACACGTCTTAAGTTAGTATGTGTACCTCCTACTGTTGGACATGACAACGAGTTCCCCACGGGGCAAGGTGTTGAAGCCAACTCGACGGATGCCATTGGTGCATCTAATACAACGGAATCGTTCTCGTCCTTTTCCATACCCCAGGGTTACAGAGACAGCGGCCAAGCTGCAGTGGGCGGTATACCTCCATATAACGACGGGATGGGAATATTCCCCCAGTTCACCCATTCTGCTTCCCACCAGCCGGGAATGTATGAAGTAGGGTCACCTGCTATAGCTGTCTCACATCATACCTACCAGCAACAGCAGATTTTTCCCTCTCAGGCAGAAAGCTTGGGAACTATAGAGAGCGGGGTATATGGTGATCACGAACAGTCCACTGCTGAGGATCTAAGCGAGGTCCTTGGTGAACTCAAAATAGATGAGACTGGTATAGGTATGGTTCAATACGAATTTCTGATTTAGGAATGTCCGCTAATACAGCAGATAGCGCCCTATATTAGACAGCAAAAGAAAGAGAAGGGTGAACCGGAAATCCCTATACAAGATGAAGCAGAAGAGCCATTGCCTCCTCTCAGTACTGGGGCAGGCTCTACAATTCGTATTCCCCCGGAGCTTATGCCATCCGATGAAGAGGTCACGAACTACTTCAAGATCTATTTTGACGATATACACCCTTATGTCCCTGTGGTACATCGGTCGCATTTGTACTACCAGTGGCAATATGATCGGAATTCGATTTCTCCACTTCTGCTGGAAGCGTTGTTTGCATGCGCGGGAAGACAGTCAGATGATCCAGCTCAGGGAGCACAGTGGCTTGCATTAGCGAATAGTAGGTCCCCTCACCTATGCGCGCTCCTTTCCCTTGGATTCGACTGTAATGTTGCCTTAGTATACTGGTTTTAACTATTCATTACGTTTAGGGCACGAGTCTAGTTTTATGGATGTACCCCGCCTGAGCACAATCCAAGCACTGCTTCTACTTTTGAAAGCTCGAGAATCCGTACCAAAGAAAGGCTATTACTACCGCTCGTGGCAGACTGTGAAAACAATTGTTTCAATGGCTAAGGATTTAGAAATTGACGAACACTACAGCACACATGCAGAACACAGACACTGTGATCTCAACCCCATAGAGTGTTTGGTCCAGACAAGAGTGTGGCAAGCTCTCCTGGTTGTTGAAGTAATGATTGGTGCACCGCAAGGTATGTTGCTAGTATTGGCACTACTATTAGTACTAACTTTCAAAGGTCGATCGGACTATGGTGTAACTCCTGACACCGTTTGTATGGATCCTGCACTGGACATTAAAGATCTTGACCAGTTTGAAATCGATCGATCTAGACAATACGCCTACTTTGTCCAGAACGCTCATCACATCCGTATCATCACTGATATATACCACAAGATCAAGAAGCAAAAGGACTGGGGTGCCAATCCAAAGTTTGTTGAGAAGAATCCTCTCTTTACTGATTGGCTTCAAGGGCTTCCTTCAGATCTACAGATTAGCTATCCTCCTGACGGCTCACCCCCTTGGATACCGTCCCATTTTGTGGCTAATATGCATTCTCATTGCCATTTAGGCATTATTCTACTTCACCGGCCTCAGTTGCTTGCATCTAAATCATTTGCCGCGGACGGGGGGTGGAAAATGCATATGGCTTTGTGTTACTCTTCAGCTAAATATCTGTGTAGACTTCAAGAGGCTATCCTACAGCGCTTTGGCCTCCCAGGTCTGCTCTCCATGCAAAGAGGTATAAATTTTGCGATTTACTGCATTATGACTTGCACAATGTTGCATTTGGTGCGTTTGTGTTCCCACCCCACTATGACCACATAGCTCACGCAATTTTCAGGTCGCGATAACCTCTCCTGACCCAAACTTCCACACAGATGCGCGCGATTATTTTTCCCGACACATGCGCATCCTCGAGAGGTGTTCATCTGCCTGGCCAATGCCAGAAATGCAAGCACAGATCGATTCCTTGCGGCTGGCATTCTCCGCCGACGTGCATAGGCCCTTCGAGCTTAAGCCTACATTTCCTTATGGAAGTCCTTCAGAGCCATACCATCCGAGCCCGTCGCCTCTCGACTCACAATACCAACCTCATGTAAGTCAGGTTTCTGGTGGCGTCCGGGGTCGGGTGGGTTACAGCCCTTATCCAATCACCCCACCGATATCAGCTAGTACTGAAGATTCAAAGTCCGATTGCTCCCAGCTCCATTCTCTGGGGATGATGCCTCCCCAGCCAGTCTCGAGTCAATCATTGAATGCGCCTCTCGTTGACGAGAATAGCTGGGACCCGACCCGTATCATTACGTAAGCAAACTACTAAAAATGTATAGACATTCTTTTAGACTCTTGCTGACGCTTCCTATCTAGCCAGTGGGACATGGCATTCTCCATGGCACCATCTACAATGAATACGAACTCTCCCACAATGGCTATGGATCATGCAGTACAGGGGGTTCAAGCGTCTTTGGCAGGTCAATACCCTATTCAGTATGGACAACCAACAAAGGTTACGCCAGTCACGCCCCCTCAGCCTATCTCACCACCTCAATATAATGGACAGCAAGTGCTCTTTACGGCGCGTGACTGGCAACAGAGTGTTGCCAGTGTTTATGATCCTAATGGCTTGAAGCGACGCTGGAATTATTCCGTCGATATAGATACAGAGCACACTCAGAAGCGGGCACGTTGAACCTTAGTATATGCACAGATAGACACTGAGAACTAACTCAGTTGTTCTTCTACTTGGAGAAAGTGGCTATATGGATGACTCTTGTGATATAGATCTCTTCGTTCTAAAATACCCCTTGTCTTTATTTATTTCACAAAGCTTGTTAACGAGAGCTTCAACGCCTGCAGCGTGAACTCATGAATGTACTCTCTAGTTGTCATCATAGATGCGGTATTCAGGAATATATATCTCTATTATCTTTTATGTTTGCGTATGAGGTGGACTTATGTGTAGAATTTAATACAGCAAGACACACCTCGCTGCACAAGATATCACTGCTAAAGTGTATACACAAGAGTGTTCATTGCTTGCTTATAGAGTTATACGGTTGGAATCCCAGGAAACATAAAAAAATAAAAATAAAAAATAAATAAATAAATAATTTTCACCCTTAAATAGCCTGGGTTACAGTTAAGCCATTATATTTGCGAACCCTCCAGCTCCTGATGTAACTGACAGTTATAGGGTAAATGACATGTACAACAGCTGCAGATGTCGTTGCCCACTCCTATGTTACTTCATCATAAGAATACCATGCATATATTCAAGTGAAACATACGTACATCCGTAGAATAACGAAGGCATGTATTGATTGGGACCGTGGAGAGCGAAGACAACATGACCATTTCCGTGAAGCCGGTAGAAAGATCTGCAAGAATATGCGAAAGAAGACAATAGACCATGCGCCGAATCTGACTGCTGTTGGGTTATTCGATGACCCATCACAACTTGCCAGCTCAAGTGCGTCGACTTAATCCTATCCTCTCCTCCCGCGACCGGACAATTCTTGCCTTATCGCCTGGTAAAGGTTTCAGCTCATCACTGGGATCAAAATTGAAACCGTTTTTGATGTGATCGTGGCCTTTGTTCTCTTGGGCTAATTTGCGAAGTCGCGCGTCCTCAAACGTCGCGAGGTCTTCAGACGTTATTGCTATTGCTGTGGGCTTGCGGCGAAGCATTATCGATATAGACAGGGGTCAGCCTGAGTGACTCTAGTTAGAAACAAAAATGTATACTCCGCTCAAGTCCTGGGGAGGAAGCCACACCCGGTTTGACGAACACGGACTCCACGTGACCAATTTCATCCTGCGGGAAGACAACGAACATTTTTGTTACACTAATTGTACTAACCTCAGCCCAACGTCCATATAGCTCGTTGACGTTGAAGATGTTTCAACTTCGAACCAAATTTATCCGCCATGAGCGTGTAAAACTGGTCGAAGGATGTTTTAATCCAATTCGCCAATTCTCAGCCATTCAAGGACGAGCGAAAGACGCCAGTCAATCCGGTAAGGCCGCAAGATCATCGCCATCTCAGTTGTGTCTATCTCCACCTGACTCTTGTAGGCAACGATGCTCCTAAAGTTCGATCTCTTCCCTCGGCGGCCTCGTATTCTCGCGCTCCTCCAAGGAAGACCAGCCTTCCACCACCCAATTTGAACTCTAGAAAGTCCGATTCTGACAAACCTCGTCCTCGACGCGTTTTCGACGCAAGGTCTCTTGCGGCACCTTCAGCCAATGGCCAATCTACAAACGTTCTTAGGAGTACCTCGTTGCGAAGCCCCCGTAAGGGACCATCCATTCGCGCTCGGAGGCCAAAACCCCCAACGAAGTCAGCCCTTAAATCACGAAAAGGTGGGCGGCCTCAACGTTCGAAAAAAACGGATATGGAAGAAAGCGATAGCTCTCAGATTGAGAATGTATATTGCGAACTCGCTGAGAAATCAAGGCCAACGCCAAACCTCTACAAACCTCAGGCTCCTGACTTCTCTAACCTGAAGGAAACTTGGCCTTCTTTTCCAACGGGTACGACTGCCAATACTGCCGAGGTTGTTGAAAAGCTATCTTTTCTAAGTGACCGCTTTCCAAATGGCTATATCCCTCCTTATGATCTGGGAATGCGCCTCTTCAGGGGACAATTTGTTCAGTTTCTGAACGAGGAGGAAAAGGCACAGGCTATAGCAGAGGCGAAGAAACTTTCCCAACAGCGTGCAGACTACTACTCGCAGCGGAAAGGCGATTTAGTAGAACCCGAGGATGTTGGTTTCATTCCCATGAGCGCAGAGGACAGGAAGTCTTTAGTGCAATCCTTCATCCAAGGAGCCTATCCCAAACTCAGTACTGAAGAAGCTGCGTCGCCTGTTCTCAGTGAAGTGAAGAAGAATCTCAGAAATAATGAGTCTTACCAAGCGGCCAGTAAGAGCTCACAATTTGTGGCAAAAGTGGAATCACTCCTGTCTTCGGCTCGCCCCGTGAGGCGAGCCTAAACACTTCTGAGAAGTCATTGTACATTAGCATTAGTATTTTATTGTTCATCCCAATATACTGGTTACATATGCCGAACTATTCATAGTGTACGTCAGCTACTGGAGTCACTTTGCAAGTAGCGACGTCGGCATGAACCGTAGCACGATTTGATACCTAACAATTACACTGATTCACTAAACACCTTTTAAGGCCAACACTTCTGGCTATGCCCTCTCCATCGCCTTCTTTGCTGCCTCAAAAAGGTCCCTCACCTCCCTTTGCCCCTTCTCCGTTACCTTTTCCATCTGTTCCTGTGCCTTCCGAACGTCATCCGGTCTAGCTATCTTCTTTTTCTGCATATCCTGAAGACGTCTGTGTACGGAACCTCTGGAGTCGCGGACTGCCGCTGTGGCCTTTTCCATAGCCGCTTTCGCGACACTGACTGTCTGATCTCGTGATTCTTTTGTCGGTGGTGGGATTGGTATATTCAGTTGCAGAGAGTTATGCGCGTCTGGCTGGGGTGTTAAGGACAGGTCGGAAGACACAATCGCCGAACTTATGGGTTTAATGTGCTGTAAATCGTGTCAGAGAGAGCTATTAAGGAAATTGCGAGATCAAAGGAAGGATCCGGGTTACGGTTCGAAAAGGACAAAAAAAAAGCCTTACATCTTCTTCCGATGCCAGTATAGTCACCATGCGGCCTCCCTTAGGAACGACTTGAGCTAGTTCTCCTAGTTTCACGGTTTCTTTGCCTCCTTTGCTTAGCTGGACACGAAGACTTTCGATGGCGTCTGTGTTAAGTCTTCCACCCACGCGTAGCTTAGAAAGGTCGTCTTTGAGATGACACACCGCGGCCGCAATGCCATCATGTAGTTGAGCGAGATCATATGGATCCTCAGAAACAAGACCAGCTTTAGGGGGCCTTGAATCTGGACTTGAACTAGAAATGTTCTTCGTTTTATCTTTTTTCTTAAAAAGTAATGGGGAGGTGGAAAACCTCATTCTCCCATTTGGGACTGCTAGACTGCGCTTTTGAAGCAGGCAGCGCCCACGTTGAAGGTTGACTGGGGAGCTGGCATTTGTAAGTGAGGATGATAGGCGTTGAATTTGACTAGATAACACAGGAATACGTTGCATCCTTCCTGATATTCGCCGCCACTGACAGACAGTAACGTCAATTGACCAGTTTTTGCAAGGAGAAAGGCAAGGCGTTTTGCTCGAATTTATTAGAGTGTTTTCAAAACGTCGGGGAACCACCATACTCCGAAAGCACTCCACAGATCACCGACCTCAAGGCCCACTAACCAAATTAGAAAAGATTGCTAGGTTTCTGGCCCGTCCATGACACCAACGGCTTAGACCATGTAGCACTTATACCTTTCGTGGCACAGAATAGAAAAGTTATTAAACTAACTATCGCAATGAACTGGAGACGTAGTTATTACAGAGTCCACTCGCGTAAGCTCATTACAGACCTTGGAAGTTGGAACATAAGATACCCCCAAAGTGTCATGAGAAGGAGTATATAGATTCACTGGCTCATCAAAATCATAGAAACGGTCTTCTCTGAAATATAAGACATGCTGACCAATCTGTACTGAATCATAAACACGCGCCTAGTCCAGAGGGCCCACACATATACACGAAACTTATGTCAAAATTGTTGCATAGGTAGCAGAGCAGCAAATTGGCCTCTATTCATAACACTAAATAACGCGTCCAGTTCTTTTTTGGATTACTATCTTTTTTACTTGCAGCGGTCACCGTAAGTCCCACTAAGATTCATTTACCGAGTGGCCATAGCCTTAGTAATGAGTCTTTTGAGGGCAAGCTCCTTCTTCTTGAGATCCTCGGGAGTGGAATCTTCGATCTCGAGCTGAGCCATAGCATCGCTGAGAGCGGACTCAATCTTCTCCTTGTTGCCACGCTTCAACTTCATCGACATAGTAGGATCGGAGATGATCTCCTCGACGCGGGAAATGTAAGACTCCAGCTGCTGGCGGGACTCAAACTTCTTTGTGAAAGCCTCATCGCTAGACTTGAATTTGGCGGCGTCTAAATGATGTCAGTTATGGAACGCTTCGGTTAAAGTGATCAGATAAGGGCACTCACCGTCGATCATCTGCTCGATCTCTGTGGTCGAGAGTTTACCAACAGCATTAGAGATGGTGATGTTTGCACTACGACCGGAAGACTTCTCGGTTGCAGTAACCTTAAGGATACCGTTGACGTCAACCTCGAAAACACATTCAAGAGCAGCTTCACCAGCTCTCATAGGCGGAATGGGGGCCAAGGTGAACTCTCCGAGAGAGGTGTTGTCGGCACAGTTTGTACGCTCACCCTGGTAGACGGGGAACTGAACAGTTGTCTGGTTGTCCACAACAGTGGTGAAAGTGCGCTTCTTGATGGTGGGAACAGTCTGTCCACGAGGCACCACAGGGGCAAAGATGTTACCCTCCATGGCAACACCAAGAGACAACGGAACAACGTCCAACAGCAGAAGATCCTGGGTCTCAGCAGAAGTGGCCTTTCCTGAAAGGATACCAGCCTGGACGGCAGCACCGTAGGCGACAGCTTCATCGGGGTTGATGCTCTTAGAAGATAAATTAGCCGATGTCATCCACAATATGCTACCGAAAGAAAGTACTCACCTTCTCAAGCTTCTTTCCGTCAAAGAAGTCGCTGAGAAGCTTCTGAATGCGAGGGATACGAGTGGAACCACCAACAAGCACGATCTCATCAACCTTGCTCTTCTCAAGGCCGGAGTCCTTGATAACTTGCTGAACTGGCTCCAATGTACCAGAGAAAGACTTGGCATTCAGGTCCTCGAAACGAGCACGAGTAATGGATGAGTTGAAATCTTCTCCATCAAACAGAGAATCAATCTCAACAGTGGTCTGGGTGGCATTGGACAAAGTGCGCTTGGCACGCTCACAGGCCGTTCTCAGACGGCGCAGGGCTCTGGCATCACCCGAGAGGTCCTTTCCAGTCTTACGCTGGAACTCCTTCTTGAAATGATCAAGTAAGTTGGTATCAAAATCTTGTCCACCAAGGTGAGTATCACCAGCGGTAGCCTTGACAGTAAAGACACCACCCTGTATGTTCAACAGGGACACATCGAAGGTACCACCACCGAGATCATAAATCAGGACATTGCGTTCCTTGTCAGACTTTCCGGAACCAAGACCGTAGGCGATGGCGGCAGCAGTAGGTTCGTTGATGATACGAAGGACGTTAAGGCCCGAGATAGCTCCGGCATCCTTGGTCGCTTGACGCTGGTTGTCGTTGAAGTAGGCTGGCACAGTGATAACCGCCTTTTCAACCTTCTTACCGAGCTTGGTCTCCGCGACCTCTTTCATCTGTGATATACCATCAATTATGTAGTCTAGCATTAGAGTTAATGGTTCTAGTTACCTTCATCAAGACCATGGAGGAGATCTCCTGGGGAGTGAAAGTCTTCGTCTCTCCAAGGTACTCAACCTCGACGGCGGGGCTTCCACCCTGGTCAACTACCTTGAAGGGCCACGATTCGACATCCTTCTTGACGATAGGATCATCATAACGACGGCCGATAAGACGCCTAAAATATGTTAAGACGAGATACAAGCTATTTGACGCTCATGTAGTAACGCACTTGATATCGAAGATGGTATTCTTCGGGTTCATCGCCGCCTGGTTCTTTGCGGCCTCACCAATCAAGCGCTCCTTCTCGGTGAAAGAGACGAACGAGGGGGTTGTGTAGCTACCCTGCTCGTTGGCAACTGAACGCGATGAAATGATTAACCAACCAAGTCTTGTTTCCGAGAAGCTTCATGTAGACATACTAATCTCAACATTGGTGCCTTCATAGTTGGCAACACAGGAGTAGGTTGTGCCTGGGGAACCGGTTAGCTCATTTGCAGCAAATAAGGCTTTTTTCTAGATAAAAGAAGGGAGAGAAAAGAAAAAGAGGCTGGAGGGGAAAGATTAAAAATACACAAGAGCAATCGGGGTATACAACTTACCAAGGTCAATACCAATGGCGCCTTCGTAAACCTCGTCAGACATGGTAAAAGGGGGGCGTGGAAGATGAAAGAGACAAGGATAGAAGGGAGAAATGGGATGAAAGAGGGAGAGATGTTGAGAGGGGAGGATTATAAGTTCACTCCAAGTGTTGAGAGGAAAGCAGAAGGAAAAAAAATTGGAGAGTTCTGAGGGGAGGGCAAAACGAAACCCACTTTTGATTTTTTTTTTTTCTTTTTCTTTTTTTTTTTTGCCCTTCGCCTTTCAACCTTTCCTCCCTCGGCTGGGGAGCAAATGAAACGGCCAGTGCTAATCCATGGTTGGTTAAAGCTAATTAGATAAGCCATTAGTTCAACTAGAAAGATTTTCCATGAAGAGCATTTCTTATCTTGTACTACTAACATACAATCCTACAACAAGACTCCTGGCACAAGGAACTGCATTATAGAGAGATTCTGCTACACAAGAATTACCTCGGATAGATCCCATGATTTGGGCAAATACTAGTTGTGGCGTGTACTCCGTATTAGTTTGATATATAACTTACAAGCACAATATTGGATAAATATCATTTGGAGCATGTTATCGAGACTAGTCGAGACTAGATTCTGCTATCCATTACTTATACATCCCTAATTTCCTACCCCAAACCATGAGAGCAGTACGTTAGACTAATGTGTCTCGTAAGAAGCACATATCAACTAAGATTCCAGGATATGGTAGGAATCAGGTGTCATTGTACTCCGTAGACTTCAAGGCTTTCATGAATTATACGTTGCTTGGATGTGGATCGCTCCACTCTCTAAGAAGAAAATTTTACGTGTAAACTTAGCAACCGTTTGGACACATATAATCGAGTTCTCATGTCACTCAGGGGACCTCTCTCCGAGAACTATTCTCGTAGAGACATCGTCACCTCTACCACAACTCTAGTTGTACAGTAGCATGAAGACAAAGTCAGGGCGATAATTTAGATCATTAGCATAAGTAGAGAAATGGAGGTTGTGATAACATACTAACACTTTCCCTAACACTAGCACCGCTTGAATAATACCGATGCTCGCATTCTATGTCATTCTGTAAATAGGATTTATTAGAATAGTGTTTCATTATTGAATTGGTACATAGGTATACATACAACCGAATACCCTCAAAGCCGTCATGGTCCAATATCACCCCTCATGATAAACAGCAAGCACGGGAATCCTCTATATTAGATATAAACCTCATATATTTATGATGTAATTGAGAATTGAAGGCTATAGCAGTATGCAAAGAGCATCAAGCCTTACTCTGTTTCTCGCACAAACTGCTTCAACAAGGAAATACATATTGAAATAGAATATAAGAGACAGACTCAGATGCTCTTCAAAGCAATGAACTAAGACCAGCTTAGCCAGTCTTTTTGTCACCTGCAATACACAGGAGGACTCGGACCTTATGCCAGGGGCGATTCCTGAAATAACGAGGCAACAGGGACAATTAGAAGAAGCTACAATGGTGAATACTTTTTTCGGAAGCCTGAGGCACTAAAGCGGCTAGACACCTCCACCAAGAAGCAAATGTGGGTATCTTCATTGGAGTATTTCTGTCTTTTCTCTTGCGGTCCTGATCCGATCTGCTTCCTACTTGCTCCTCAAGCTGGTGAACGCCAAATTACACCAACTCGCGACCAAAGACGCACATCAGCTGCGAACAAGTCGCCAAAAAAGCCGTGCGTCAGTTACATTCCACCCAAGTCATTTCATTGAAGGTTTTCGATCCGTAAGTATCTATATAATAGGAACACCCATAGTTCTTGCCTATTAGCACGGCCAGTATCTATGTAAACAGATGGCTCACAGTCAAAAGATAGTTAGAAGTTGTTCTATCCGCATCACTGCACGCTCCTCATCGTTCCAGATGGACATCGATATGAGTAGGAGGAATAAGAAGCCCCGCCTTCTACTGGAATCCGAACGAGAAAGGCTCGAGGAATTCATCGATTCTATCCACTACTCCGCAAGGTACATTGACTCTCACATCGTGGCCTGTATTGACATAAATGCTGATTTCTCCACAGATATTCCGATGATCAATTTGAATACCGTCATGTTCAGCTCCCCAAAAACATGCTTAAAAAGATTCCGGCCGACTACTTTGACAGCTCGAAAGGAACTCTTAAACTGCTCTGGGAAGAGGAGTGGAGAGCCCTGGGCATTACACAGGTGTGCAGGCCCGATCATTACTGTAGGATTTTCATTTCATAAGTGGTCTAACTTCATCGATGGTCAGAGCTTGGGTTGGGAGCACTACGAAGTTCATGAGCCGGAACCGCACATTCTGCTATTCAAGTGAGTGCCTTAATTTGAGCCATGTTCGCCTTTCTGGTACTGAGAGTTGTGCAGGCGCCCCCTCAACTACCAGCCACCAATGTCACAGTAAATATACCTCGAGTTCGATGGTCAATATTTAGCCTTTCTCTTCTCATTTCCCCATTGCTTGGACGAGCAAACGGCCGCGAAATAAGGTGCGGAGTATGCATAAATGAGATTGTTCTTAGGCAATCAGGTGCTTCTTGCATGAAGTTTCGACAAGAAATATAATTCAATGCTGCTAGAAGATACCTCGTTTGTCGCCTAAGCCACCACGCACTGCCACCCTAACGACCGTCTTACTGTGCTTCACCCTCATATATTCTATTTGCAGGATGCTTTATCTAGAAGGGGTTTTCAGATCACGTTCTTGGCCAACCATTGCCCCCACTGGGTAGCAGTAAAGCTGCTACTGATCCCCGGTTCTTCGATACCCTAGATGATGGTGTCAGTGCATGGGGTCGCTTTTAACATTCGCGCAACTAGGAATGGCATACATTGAAGTATACGGTCGGAGAAACATGGACTCCCACAGCACGGTCTGCCTAATTTGTTGTGTTAGATTGGATATGTCTCAAATCACCGGAGTCTTAATATCTTACTTTGACCATTTTCTTGATATCCTCGGTGACATCGTTACCGGTATTCAGTTCCCCGTTGTCACTAGCTTTGTCGCTAACAGTCAAAAGCTTGAGCACCTCCCGCTCCTCCACTCCAACACGTCCGGCAACCTTTGCCAATCTTTCATATGTTCTATTGCGTGTTTCATTAACCACGCTGACATCAAAAAAGTCCTTCTGTTGTTTGAACAAAGCGGCACTGAACTCCCAAAATTTCTCGGGGGCGACTTTCAGAACAGCTGCCCCCGCTTCGTGCATCAATGTTGATGATGGGTGCCAGGGTTGGATATGTTGGCGAAAGATGACCTGCAGTTTGCCCCTGTATTGACTTGCAAGTGTAGATTTGACTGAGCTGTAGAACGTATCGAACATCTTTGCGGAGAACTAAGGCTAAGTTTTAGCGTACATGCAAAAGTATAGTAGAGCCTACAGTGTGGACTCACGGGACAAGCATAGTCAAGATCTTAATTTGTACTATCATTAGCAACTACGTATATGCCAATCCAGTGCCTGACATACAGAGTTCAAGTGTGTGTTGCGGGTGCTGATCAGTACCGGCCTGCAATCTGTGACCTGCAAACTTTGGGGGAAGAGCCATGGTGATTGCACTAGGAATGGTAGGCGTACTCTTTGTAATTCGGGTTGTTTTTGCGGATGCGAGATGCGGTCGCCAGGTAATAAGTGTACAGTAAGAGTACCTATAGAGGTGGGGTAATGAACGCCTTACGTCATGTCACCTTGCAAGTCACTTGATAAGTGATCTGGGCCGCCCTAGGATAGTATAGCCAACAGACTCTAGCCGTAAGCTACTCATATTCATGGCCTAGTAACAACAGTCGCACAGTCTTTTAATGGATTGACCTTTCTGATACTTGCTGATTGATCAATTGACTAAGCATGCTAGCCTTATACCTACTCGTGCATATCTGTATAGCTTATAGTAATCTCCGCAATTGGAGTGCATTGACAATTACAACAACTATTTCGTTCAATATCCTAGGCGCCGGGTTTCTGAGAGGCTATAGCATGGAGGGACAAGCTCACAGTTTAATCAATACCCAGGCAATAAAATAAGTTAAAAAGAGACCTCATAACACGCAGTAAATCCCGTATCTTTGTTACATCAGAATGCACTTTGTAGAATGAAAGGATAAGCAGCCGTTGTTAAGGGCCACCAAGCGCTTTTTGGTTGAATATGCTCACATCCTTAAGCTGCATCGAAATCAAAGACCAACTGGCCGTTGCTGGATCATATTCACCTTTTACTTCAACCCTGCAAAACCCTTTGGGGCCTTTCAAGCCGACAGGGCCGATAAAATAGAACGCGCCACGCCGAGGACGGTGCAGTTCTTGGGCCCAACCGTCCTTCAGCCGCATCTTAAAAGCTAACGAGGCTGCGTACAGATCAGACCCGGGACCAAACTTTGGTAAAGGTAATCGCTGTAATGTCGAGATAATTAGAGAGGGATGAAGGTTGACGCCGCCTTTGTCTCGCAATGTGCCCACCTGAGAACCAATAGGCGGAGTCAAATGTGTTTCAGACTGATGCACGGGGTGTAATCTGTCCAGGGGCTGAAGCTCGGACGATAGCGCCTTATGGGGCGGTAGACTTGAAGTGCCTGGGGCTTGTTCTTGCTCTAACCCTGTAATATTGAACCGGGAAAGCTGTCTTTTCACCAAGATCATATAGGCATCCTTTATGGCAAGTGCCACAGATAAAGGCTGTACACACCTCCGAAGACGGTCGCCATCCTCCAGGGACATAGGTTTTGAAACCCACGATATTCCACCGTCGGTGAATTCTAACCTACACATCGTAAGCAAACCCTAGGGGTTGTCCTGTCATGAATGCACATACCCTGAGCGCCTATAATCAGGGGGAGCGCGAGATGGAAAATGATGAACTACCCAGAACCCTGTCACGCTAAGGGGACCCCCTAGCACGCGCAACAGTAGTTCAGACTGGGAGGCATCTTTCTGAACGATGGATGCCAGCTTATCTGCACATTCAATATTTAGTCAACGACAAAAATGCAACCAAATCAGCCATACCTCTCAGATATTGAAGCTTTTCTCGGTCCCGCGAGATCTTAATAAATTCTTGCCACTCTGGGTCCGATGCTGCATATAGTTCACCTTTGCGTAATCGTGGCCAGCCCAATGGTATAAAAACAGGATCAGAATCTATCGTTCCGCTCGCAGGGTCCTCAAGACGCCCCTCTGTATCATCTTTTTGATTTTCACTCACACCCGCCTTTCCAGAGAGTCCTTCCTGTGTAGCATCGGCATCGTCTAGCGTATCATCAAACTGGAGGAGAACGAACGAACTCCACAAATGAAATGCGGTACCGTAAATAAAAAATGTGGTAATAAATCTCCTGGGAATATGTCAGAGAGCGGAATATCTATAGTGCAACTAAGATTTATACCTACCTAATCCACGGCCGTTTGAATTTGACATGGCGCACATTGTTGAGATTCGAGGTCCGAGACAATGGTGGGCTGACTCGAAAAAGAAATGTAGAATTTGGAAGTATTCGCCTGAGTCGAAACATTGAGAGATCGCATGTGTGGGCGCTGCTGTTCAACAAGAAGGCATATCTTTCACCCGTTTCTCAGAGTCCTACTATTGACATGCCCCTAGTATACTTGAAGTGCAATATGGAAAGATAAGAACTTGTCCTCAAGGTACAAATAGAATTGAGATCGTACGAAAGGGATACTCATAGGCCAAAACAAAGGAAAGAAAAAATAAAAGAAGGGAAAAAAAAAAAAAAGAACCTAGGTGTTCTGAGGAGGTATGTACACTACTATCGAAATCAAATACAGACGAGTATTGAATCAGCCTCTGGCACCATTGAAATCCCGACATACCAGCCCTTAGTCAAGTGGGACAGCCCCGATATTAGTCACGTGATACGAACTAGCTCAGTAATGAAATACTAGTAAGTTTTGGGGTTAGTGAGAGCTGAAGCCATAGTTGCTGCTATCTACTCGTAAGAGGTGCGGGTGCTTCGTCTACTTTACGCTCAAATGCCAGTGCCCGATTAAAAGGTCTACGCTGAAAGACCACGGGGTTGTTAATCATTTAGCCTAGCAAAGCTTTTACCATTACAAGCGAGTTAATTGCTAGTTCGTTCGCCCAGAATGCATGGGCTCACTAGCTTCCTGAGTCTCTCATTAGCAATCGCATCCGGAACCAGGGCTTTGAATGCTTCCATATTCACCTTCAGCCCATCTCCACCATGGAAAAATACAAAGACTACGATGGTAACCGATGATATAGCTCGGCATCTCCTGGAGCTTCGAATGAACGTACCTACCGCTTCGGCTCTAGGGAAGTGGGATCAAGACCTAGTCGAGCTTTTGGACACATATGGTGGCACACCACGTCCGTTGTTTGGCGGTGATGTCGACAATAAGGACGTCACTAGGAGCCTTGTGATTCTTGAAGGGATAGGGGCCGGACTTGGTATGTTAAAAACAACCGTCGCTATTCAAGACAGCTGACGAGCTGTTACAAGGATCTACTATTCAGCAAGAGTACCAAGGAGGCCTCGTGATCGGTAGCCCTTCGGCCAATTACCTAATTGATGGTTTCCTCGACACATCATCAGAGGCTAACTCTGACGGCTATATGGCTAAAAAGAAATATTGCAAATCCGATAGCGGAGGCGAAACCAGCTTCGATGTTCTTCGGGTAAGAAAGAAATTCTATCAATTGGATTATTACTACAGCTGACTCTGACCTGCCTTAGACACTTGAAAATTGCATTCCAAAGGGCTCTGCATTCGAAGCGGTAGCCCACATATTCGGCAAAGAGCTTCTCGGCATTGTGAAAGCGATGGAAGCATGGGTGGACGAGCAGAGTTTAACAGCAGTCTTGAAAATCTCATTTCAGGTATGCGCCTACAATACCTAGTTGGCCTAGTGAAGTAATAGTAACATATGGCAGTTTCCTGACGAATATGTCGGCTCTGGCTCTGTAGCTGGTTCGCTGATGTCTGTTCTCCATGGTCTACGTACTCTTTCGTCAGACGTCAGACAGGTCACAGCAGTTCTTCTGCCTACATCTAGTCAAGATGAAGGTTCGAAACATAGGATGAATCCTCGAGGAGCCGTGACAGAGGAAGCTTCTGTCAGATCGACTAGCGCAGCAGTTATGACGACGCTCCAAAGGCAAGCACATCCAGTTTGTTTCACCTCGAATTCTTCTTGCACTTTGGCAACTGATAGCTGCTCTGGACATGGGGTTTGCTATAAAAAGTCCGGTTCAGCCAACGATGAGGCCGCTAGCGATTGCTACGCATGCAAATGTAAGTCAACCATCGTCACCAAAGAAGATGGTACTGTTCAAAAAATTCGGTGGGGAGGGCCTGCGTGCCAAAAAAGAGATATCAGCTCCCCTTTCTTCTTGATTGCTGGTATCAGTATACTGGTGGTCATGGCGGCAGGTACTGCTGTGGGGATGTTGTTTCACATTGGACAAGATGAGTTGCCAGGTGTTATAAGCGCTGGGGTTGGCCCCACAAAAGCGCAAAAGTGATGTCAATGCTATATACTTCGGAGTACATCTCATCCAAACCCTCTTGAGGGCGGGGACTCTTGAAGTCAGTGCGATTTGGTTACCACAGCTCAGAATCGATCTTATAGTAAAATACGAAACTTTGTTTTCCTGGTATGTGCATTGCAAATATAGTAATCTCATCATCACGATGTACATTAGGACAAGTAGGAATAAACAATCGGGGGTCGGGAAAGAGAGAGAGCAGGCCTAAATTGCAAAAACCCATACCAACTGCAACGCTTCCCCGATAAATACCTAACCAACTGCCTTGCCTAAACCCGAAAATCTGAAATGCCTTGGAACCATTGCGCCATCAACGCCACGCCACGGGTAATAACTTTCATGAGGACCTAAGCTATTAAGCCAACAGCTTAGAAGAAATGCAGATGCCTAGACAAGAACTTCACACATCCTTCTTATGTAAGACGAAGTTGTCTTTCGAATGGTGAGGTACTTCAACGTATTATACAAAATGATATTTATGTCTTTGCGTGATCTTGCACGCTGTAAATAATCGTGCCGTTGCCAAGTGGCATTCCAGATGCCATGAAGTGAGGAAGGGCAACGTTTGACGTGAACTGGGTAGGGTAACCGCGAAACATAATTCATGAAGCTGCTCATGCACCAGACTGGGCTTCCAGTTGGCTAGGTGTCCGATCGGCCGCAGGGTGTGCAGTGTCCGTCGGTTGCGGCATGCTCTCCCTTGAATATTGATTCCGAGCGGAAAAGGATAGAAAAGAAAGGTTCAACGACCTAATAGGCGTAAGTCTAGTCCTCCAATCTCGCCGGTCCGAAGGCTCTGGAGCTGAGCTTGACAGGTTACTAGGAGGCCCAGAGTGGTGATCTTGTATTCGCCAAAGACGCGGTGCAGTTAGCCGGGACGACTGGGTTTCATTTCTAGGTGGAGCCTGTCGCTCTGGTATAGCTAGGGGATTCCGAAATGGGTTGACACGTCCTCCTATAAATACTGATTGTGGTTGTGTAGGAACGGCCAATCGTGTTGTGTTGCGACGGCCTGAGCGTTCTGGATTAGGTGTTTGTCCGCCAGGATCAGAGCGAGGCTTTGGAACATAGTAATCGGCCTTGCACAAGGGACAACAGGCTCTTCGACTCGTTAACCACGGGTCGACACAGGATGCATGGAAAGCATGACCACATGTAAGCCCACGTATGTCATCGTCATCTTCGATTGTATCAAGGCAAATTGCACACGAATCGCCTGGATTGGGTAAAAGTTCCGCTGGTACTGCGGTGCGAATTTGGTTATTAACGTCCTCGTCACCCTCAAGTGAATTGCAGTTCTGTAACTGTTTTGTGTCTGAGTCTTGGGTGCCATCAGCTACTACAGCAAATGCTTGGTCGGCGTTCTCCTTCTCTTGCGGTTGCACTAAGGCCGTCGGTGCATGTTCAACTGGTATAGATGACTGCGATGTGGTCGAATTACATCGACGGTGGCCTTTTATTGGTGAATTTGTTGTGGAAGAGGGTGCCCCAACCGTGGTAGATAGAATATCATGTTCACCTTTCAAGCTCTGGGGCCTGCTATTCGGTGCCGATATTCCGCCTGCGGTTGGAAGGCCTTCATTCGCGCGCGAAGATCTCCACGCTTTGTATTTGACAAGTGGAAACCGTTCGTTAACTTGATCCATACTCATCAACTTTTTTTCCCTCCTTCTCCTATGTGTTCGAGGCATGGTTACTAAATCTATCGGTTCGCCCGTTTCCTCATTGCGTAGTTGGCGGTTTCGCTGATTATATCGGAAGCAATACTTTACTCCAACAATAATCCTAAACGTGGTCGACAATGTTAGCGCACATTTCAAACATAATTCAAAGTTGGGGCATACCATAGGTTCGTGAATACAACACCAAAACCAAGGGCAACGAAGAATAAGAGGGGTGAACTTGTGGGGCTTGAGCTACTATCATCTCCGTTATGATCAGTACTGGTGGCAGTTGGTTGTGAACCTGTTGCAGTGGAGGCCATCTTGACAAACGTAGACGTGATGATACACTGGAGGGGTTGAGCGCAGCAAACGGTGCCGGCCGTCTCGATTGTTTAAAAAGTGACAGAACTGGAATCTCCAAGAATATTCACATGAGATGTCGTCGAGAAATCAACAACCTAGTTAAACTTTGTCCCTGAAGCAGGCTCTAGCACGCAAAAGCGATGGGAGCAACCCGACTCATCTAGTCCAGGGTAGCGACACAAGGCACACACAAAAATGCGTACGCGATGGATCATCACTGGCGGCGGCTGCGCCCGGGGCTGCTGTAAGAATGGTTCCTATTGTCAACCCGGGACGTATATCGCATTTGAGTCTAGAATGCCGTTGATGGAGACAGCGATACTCCACATTAAGGTGGGTGGTAATCCGTGACCGAGGCCAATAGCTAAGCAGTCAGGTCACGGGGTGGCTTATCTACTAGTACTTCTACAGTACTCCGTACATAGGATTGTACCTTGATTTCGTCCCGCAATACCGTACCTGTAGCGGTACAACAATCTATTGACATAGTTTAAAAGTACTTCTAGGTATGTTCTTAAGTCATTACCGAGTGACTTTCATATCATATATTCGATATTACTTTGTCTGGAAATTAAACATGTAGCACACACCTTTAAGCCGTACTCGAGATAGAATGCCTCAATTAATGAAATAGAAATAAGATTAGTTTGACACATAATATTTTATCACGATATAACGAGTGGGGTGTACTGCACATATAATAGACAGGCGTTTTTCTCTGGTTTTCCTCGTCAAATAAGCTAATCTGAAAGTGGGGTTTATGGAGTCATATGGGGAGACTTTACGATTGCCCTACCACTAGTGGTACGGCGGAAGCCTCTCCATACAAGTTTTATATCGTCACACTACCACTGTTTTTCTCCAACCATATTTGGTTTCCTGATAGCGCGAACCTGCAAAATGGATAGTCAAACTATGAGCTCAACTGAGAATTCAAACCCTGTTGTCTTTTTTGACATCACTCTAGGTGGTAAGTAAGGAAGATAATATTGAGTAATCAACCTTATGGACAGAGATCCTATCGCTTTTGGGGATGTCCAGCCTCGTCCCACCAGCACAACTCAATTAGAAATATGTCAATATGGAATATGGAGCTGGGAAATCTGCCTCATTAAATAAGATCTAAACAGGCTGAGCATACATCATCTCACAGGGGAGTCACTGGGACGTATCAAAATGGAACTTTTTACCACTATAACGCCACGAACAGCAGAGAATTTTCGCCAGTTCTGCACAGGAGAAAGCAAAAGTCCCCAAGGACGGCCACAGGGATACAAGAATAGCAAATTTCATAGAGTTGTGTGTACAATACATATCCTCAGGGCTATGTTTCTGGGGCTGACAAATACATTAAAGATCAAGGACTTCATGATTCAGGGCGGTGACTTTGTCAATGGCGATGGCACAGGTTCTTGTACCATCTATGGCACATCACGATTTTCGGATGAAAATTTCGTTTTGAAGCATGACCGTCCAGGGCTACTAAGCATGGCAGTAAGTCCTAGAACGAAAGCTTAGGGAAGTGGTGATGCTGACATGTCCAGAATTCTGGACCCAACACAAATGGCTGCCAATTCTTCATTACAACTACTGCGACGCCATTCCTAAACAATAAACATGTGGTGTTTGGACAAGTAGTGGAAGGAATGGACGTTGTGCGAATGATTGAAAACACTCGTACAACTAGGGATAAACCTAATCAAGATGTGACCATCATTCAGTGCGGGGAGATGTGATACTTGATCAAAAGGCCGTTTCGAGCCCTAAGATGTTTGAAGTGGATTCCCATATGCCCAAGCAACGAAGAAGCCATTACTTGTAGTGACCTTCTTGAGCTCTATCCATAGCACTTGACACACCTATAAGCTCTCTTGCCATACTTTTCTTTTCCCCTCCTTGTCCTCACAAGCCAGTAGTGTCACAATTTATTAAAAGCCGCATCCAGAGCTTAAAGCTTGAACTTGCTAAGATAATCAGAAGCCAAGGCGATAGCTTCGTCGGTTTTGTCTGGGCTAGTACCATTGCCAATAGACGTGGGCCCTTTGCCACCAGCCTTTCCACCGACCGCAGTAGAAACAATAGCCGCCCATTCGCTGGCGGAAGCTCCTTGATCGCTTATTGCCTAGTGAAAATACGAATTGTCAGTGCTAGACAAGGGGTACCGGGCTGGCGAGGATATTACCTTTGACACATAGCAGCCGTGGACGACACGTCCTTGGTTAGAGTCCGCGGCCAAGACGTAAACTGTTTTATCCTGCAGCTTCGACTTCACGTGGTTCAGGGATTCGCTAACAGCTTTTGCATTTGCTGAGATTGGAAGCTTAGCAACAAGCCACGACTTATCTTGGTTTTCTGGGTTTTGGAAGTATGAGGTAATTGCCTCGAGCGCCTTCTTCGATTCAAGCTTTTGTTGCGCTTTTTGCGAATCAATGATTTGCTTGTTGATATGTGTAAAGCGTTCACGGAACCTTGATTTTTGAACCGCTGAAATTAGTAACTGGCTAAGGTCGACTTGAATTTGCTTGGCATCCTGTTCTTTCTCAGGACCTAGAGCCATTGCTTCAAGACGATCCAAACGCTTCTCGAATTCCAGAGCGACGCGCTGCACTTCATGAGCATCCTCTCCGGTAACTGCAATTATTCTGCGGATGCCTTTGGCAATGCCGCTCTCTTCTAGGATAACGAGTTCCTTAATGTCGCCTGTCTTTTGCACATGAGTTCCACCACAGAACTCAATACTAACTTTTTCCCAACGAGGATCCTTAACATTCTTGAGGATCTCCTCCAGCTCCACGCCTACAGACACAACACGAACAGGATCTGGATAGGTCTCACCGAAAACAGCTCTAACCCCTGAGATCTGTCGGGCAGTTGCGAGAGGAACCTCCTGCGAGTAGACGGCGCAATTCTGGCGAATATACTCGGTCGATATATCCTCAATCCTTTCCAGATCTTTATCTGCAATCTGAGATTTATGAGAAAAATCAAACCTAAGCTTCTCAGCAGCAACAAGTGAGCCCTTCTGCTCCACACCATCTCCCAGTACCTCTTTCAGCGCAAAATTAAGAATATGCGTGCCTGTGTGGTTATTTCTGATGGGCCACCGACGAAGCTCGTCGTATTCACAAATGACTTCATCACCAACAGAAAGCGAACCATACTTCATGAATCCAGTATGAAGAACATACCCAGCATAAAGCTGAACATCGCCAACTTCAAGCTCAGCCTGTCCGTCAATGACAATTCTTCCTGTGTCATTTTCCTGTCCGCCTTGCTCGGCATAGAAATTCGTGCGATCAAGTATAAGCCCAAGTTGGTCACCCTCGGGTATCTGTTCCGTTGAGGAATGAAAGGATTTTCCATGGTAGATCGCCTTAACCTGGGCAGTAATGTTCCCTCTATCAAACTTGGCCGAATCATTCGTTTTGCGAACGTCATTCATTTTCTCCAATTTTCCGAGATCGTGAACATCCAGTTTGACGGTGTCGGCGGCAGCTTTTTTCTGTCCTTTACTTGCTTCCTTAGCTCTTGAGCGAGCCTCCTCGAACTCAGTATCATCAATTCGCAAACCACGTTCCTCTGCCATAATACGAGTCAAGTCGACTGGGAAGCCAAAAGTGTCATACAATCTCCAAACATCAGCACCGTGGAGCTTATCATCTCCCTTGGCCTTAGCTTGCTGAGCATAATGTTCGAATTGCCTTTCACCACGATCCAAAGTCTTTGCAAACGAAATCTCTTCCTCGTCAAGTATTTCCATAACGTCTTGCTGTTTCCGCTTGATCTCTGGAAACATGTCACCCATCTGATCCACAAGGGTCGGTACGATCTTGGAGAAGAAACTGCCAATCTCGACCCTGAAGTATTTTCTGGCATACCGAGCACCTCTGCGAAGCACCCGACGAATCACATAACCACGGCCCTCATTATTCGGTGTGACGCCATCTGAAATGGCAAATGTCAGGGTTCGAACATGATCTGCTATAACCCTGTAGGCCGTGTCGATTCCATCCGGATCTTCAATACCGAATCGTCCCTGATACTGCTGTGCTCCAGTGATGTCCTTGATGGTTTGAAATAACGGAGAAAACACATCGGTGTCATAATTTGATGACTTATTTTGAAGTACCGAGACCAGACGCTCAAAGCCCATGCCAGTGTCGACATGTTTATTCGGGAGGGGCTTCAAAGAACGGTCTGACTCACGGTTGTACTGAATGAAAACGTTGTTCCAAATCTCAAGAACGTTGGGGTCATCCTGATTGACAAGGCTGGAGGCATTGCGCCCCCCAATCCTGTCATAGTGGATTTCACTGCAAGGTCCGCAAGGACCCTGATCACCCATTTCCCAAAAATTGTCTTTCATATTCCCGGGAAGAATGTGGTCTTCCGGAACACCCACTGCTTTCCATAGCTCCTTGGCTTCCAAATCGGGTGAGAGGCCACCCTCCTTGCTCCCCTCGAAGTAGGTAACATATAATCGTTGCGGATCCAACCCATAGATCTTTGTCATGAGTTCCCAAGAGTAACCGATCGCTTCCTTCTTGAAGTAGTCGCCAAAACTCCAGTTACCAAGCATCTCAAAGAAGGTCTGTTGTAAGTCCCCTACTATCAGTACGTGCAATAATAATAACATGCATGAAATTCAATATCGCCTCACATGATGATAACTGTCCTTTCCCACATCGTCTAGATCCTATTATCGCTGCGGTTAGTTATTTCAGAAACAGTAAAGAGATTGCCTTCTCTTTGCCACTTACATTATGCTTACCGCCAGCACGGATGCACTATCGAAATAACTTAGTTTTGCGACTTTCATGGGGGGCAATGATTTTCATGTAATAACCTTTTGAGTATTGACTGCGCTCTTCAGGTTGGCAAAATCAGATTGTGGATCCACGGTGCCTAGGAAAATCGACTTGAACTGATTCATCCCGGCATTCGTAAAAAGCAAGGTTGGGTCCGAGAGAGGAACCACAGGAGCTGATGCAACTAGTCGTACGGTCCAGTGTTAGCTTGTTGAAAATTTGAGAATAAAAAATGCAGTATAAGGTATACCAAAAGTATGTCCATTTTGCTGGAAATATTGAATAAATGCATCCCGAACAGACTTTGCAGTCCACTTTGGACTACTTTGTAGATTTGAATCCATTCTAAATGGTGGTGAAATGGTGTTTGTAGGTAACGCACTTCGAAGTGGGGGAGGGGGAGGGGAAGTGTGAAGATGGTAGAATGTTCTGGGTTTTGACCTAATGGGCGACAGCAGATGAGTCAAAGCCAGTTGCCCATCCCTCAAAAGCTTAGGTGCTCGCATCAAGCTACCCATTCAGCGATGCATCCAGTTGCACCAGGTTGACTTTGCGCGTGCCCAGGATAGCAAATGGTAGATTATAAAATTCTTCTTGTTACTTTGCAGAAAGTTCTCTAATTGATTACCCGGCTGTTTGTGTTCGGATGGCGCAGCATCCTGATGCGGGAGTTTATCACGGAAAAAAGCGTCCCGCGGAGAGTGACCCTGATGGAGATCAGCCTCTAGCAAAAAGGTTTGGGCGCTTGCATATTGGTATGTCCTACCATGGCCTTGGCTCCTTCTCTCTCTCTCTGTTTTCCCTATTGCTGCCCTTTGTTTCAAATACCTTACCTTTCTGTCTCTTTTTTTTTCCTTTCCCTTCTTTTTTCTTTTTTCCTGTGCTTTGCTTTTCCCATCTCCTTGAACACATCCTCTAACACCACAACTTCAGATCCTCGAGCAATTCGCCATGCTCCTAGTGGAATTCGAGAAAATCTCGACGTTGGTCAACATGGTTCGTCAGCTTTGAATGACATGATGATATTGGACGACACGAAACATACGGTTTACATTCATGACCTTGAACGTGAAATAGCAGAAACTGAGCTTCCCAATGATTCTATCACTTTTCTGCCCGGGATCGGGGAGAGCTTGCGAGCAATCCCGAGATTCGTCGTCACAGAAGCAAAACCCATGTGCAATGAGCTGGTCCTCTATAGAGAACCAGCGTCACTAACGGTACCGAAGGAAAGAGACACTGTGCGTAAGGCTTTGATTGAGACAAGGGAGCGGGCTAGAACAAATCAATGTGGGCGACATCCATCCACATATAGCTCTATATATCCGGGAACCGTCACAGATCCTGGTAATTCAAACAATACTTGTCATCCGGGGGATGCAATGGAGATAGATGCTGGGATATAGGGAGTTCTAGGCTATCCCTCTTCTATCCCTAGACGGTCTAACTGGGCCATTTTAAGTTTAAACTCGTGCGGCTTCTCCATGTCGCATAGATACACTGAAAGGTCTTGTCGTCCTCTTGCCTTTGAGTCAACACAAACTTGTCGCAAATCATAGTAGCTGTGTGGGTTTTAAAAGGCTCTATATGGATAGGGGTGGGAGTTATCATCAAACTAAATGCTGGATGGGCTCTCTATTCATTTCAATTGTTGGGAGGCCAAAGGTAATGGATATTCTGCGTATTTTGACGTGCATTGAATCCATAGACATTCATAAGAGATAATGTCATTATATTGGTCTCTTCGTATCTTACAGGAGGCGCAAAGATTATGCTAAGCATTCAGTTACAGTGTAAGCTGGGTTAAACATATCCTTTCACCAATAATGAATAATTTCTACCGATGACTTTTATCCCAGCAGCCTTGCATTGAACATCTAATATTTGGTGGTAATAGTATTTTAAATAAAACATACCTCTCACCACAATAGACTCTTAACGGTCTAAGAGTGAAAGAGATATTTGATCCTATATTATAGATCCTTGCGTGAGTACTCATATATGTACCGCTGTAGAATAATAGTACCACACTTGTATACCTAATCAATAGGTAAAGTCCGAGTAGTTATCTGTCTGCCTACTCGTACTGTGTACTATTTCACCTCGCGTGAAGAGTCAAAGTTGTGCGGTTAGTTAACGTAACTGGTAAACGAGCCGCCACTGTAAGCGGCCCGCCATCTTCTGTTTTCCATAGTAAACAGCCTATTTTTAAGCAATAATATCTCAACCAATTCAGTTTATCTCTACTTTAAAATTAAAATATAACTTACTATACAGTAGAATAATTATATATAAACAGTACAAATCTTTCTAGATACTTACTACCAAGCTAAAATAAAATATACTATATTTTATAGTATATAGTAAGGATATATATAGGGAATTGTTATTTGGACCTCACGCTAAGCCTATATAGGAAGGCATAATACTATGTATTGGTAATACTACTAGTTAAGCGGGACTATTCTAGAATAGGAATGTAGAACTGTCTTCTCTCTCCCTCTTATATTTGAAAGGGGGTTACTAGCGTGTATTTTAAGTATATGACTCGCTTAACATCCCTATATAGGCTTAATTTGAGGTCCAAATAACTAGCGTGAGGTCCAAATAACAATTCCTTATATAAATTCCAGGGCTCTTTTTTACTTAAGTTTAATCTATATATAAGAAATATAATAATATTAGTACAATAACTTGATAATAAACTGATATATCTAATAATAGTTGAGATATGATTGCTTAGAAATAGGCTGTTTACTATGGAAAACAGAAGAAGGCGGGCCGCTTACAGTGGCGGCTCGTTTACCAGCGGGTTACAGTTACGGGGGGGTCAGAAATTAGTGGCTGGGGGTAGGCCTAGGAATGGTGCGGTCCTGGTCCCAATATTTAGGACTGGGACCGGACCTTGCAGTCTTTGGTCTTTTCTCATATTGCTAAAAACTGTACTATAGTCTTCTGTATCCTAAGTAGTCTTTATTCTAGAGGACTATTATTGTATAATCTTATCAAGATCTTTTATTTTTAGCTATATAAATATAATAATTTATTATAATAGTTTTTTATAATTATAATAATATTTAATATAAATACTGCTATAGCTTTCTGCGTTCTACGTTGTTGGTGGCATTCGGCCGCCGTAGTTAGTTTATATAGCAGCCAGTTTCGCCTAAGACCAATATATAGATATAACCTTACCAGCCAAATGTTACAGACCCAGACTAGTGCGGCATGACCAGGATAATATAATAGCTACGATAACAATAAGCGGTGAAATATTACTACTGGTAGAATATTACCGGACCTATGACATTTAAGCATGTAAATGTTATAACTATAATAATATTGAGAGATCTCAACATTACTAGAGCAATAATATTGGAAACCCCCGGTGTTAGCACAGTAATACCAATAAAATCCAATCCTGGTAAATATAGATATATCTCTTATATAGTATACTATAGATCAGACTAGTACTTGGAGACCAAGAATATATAAAATTACTTATTTATATATTTAGCTTAGTTCTTTATAATTAATCTATTCAGTTACTTAATAGCTATATTTTACTATAGATATATTTTTTATATTGTTACTAACTCAACTTATTTATACTATCTAATAATTAAGTATATATACTTAATTAGTCTAGTCTTTCTATTTTAGACTATCTTTGTGTAATATTATTTATTAACTATTATTAAATATCTGTCAGACCTATTCAATTATTATTATTATCGGTTACTAGTGGATTCTAGTTATTGAGATAAAATAGATTTAACCAAGATAGCCAACTAATCGCAGAGTCCTTGGACAAATATCTAAATATAATATATTAATTACTATCTGTCAGCTGCCCTAATCCTAAAGCGGAATAGTCTTAGGGCTGGCTTGAGAGGATATAAAAATAGAATAATAGTATAGATTGAATGACTAGATAAGATAGAATAGGCTTGAAGAGATCAAATGAATGAATAGGAAATCTGACTATCTGATAATCAGATAGTTGGTTGATGATCTGCTTGAATCCAAAAGATCATTTAGTAGATGCTTTTAGGCCTTATTTATAGATAATTCTTAGGCCTTGCCGCCTTGCTTTTGGTGAATGATTTCAAATCAATATAGAATTAGTGAATTTGTCATCATGACTAATTCTTGATTTCTAATGATTTCTAATGATTTATAATAAATTATTAGAAATCATTCAAAGTTATGAGTCATAGATTTATTCTAGATCTTGATTGAAAATAAGATTTCAATCTAGTCTGAAATAGGCAATACTATAAAAGCTTTCTAGAATATTTTCTAAATAGGAAATTTTACTTTGACACTATCTATAGCTTACTTTAATTAGTAGTACTAATAATAATTCTATTCTATATAATAATAATCAATATTATTATTAGAATATTTGATACCGGCATATATAATATCTTTATAATAGTTATATCTAAATTTTTAAAATAATTAACTATAAGTATAGAATAGGATAATTAGTTAATAGAGTAATAGATAAAAACTTTACTAGCTTATCTAGAATTCAGTAACTAAAGATTACTAATAATTATATTATTTAATAAAGATCTAAAATATTTTTTAGAAATCTAGATAGAACTATTTAATTTTTTAGAAATAAAATATTTTTATTCTACAGTATATTATTTATAACCTAATAATTAATTAGAGATAAGTAATCAGCTTATCAAAGTCTATCTATATTATACTATTACTGCTATAGATAATATTAAAAATTAGTTAAAATATATAAACAGATTTTAGATAATCTATAATATATTAATATATTCTGTAATAGATTATTTACTATATAAATTTATATATAATTTATTTCTTTGGATATCTCTTACTCTAAATATTAACTTAGAAAGTATTAATATCTATACTAAATTATATTTTACTGTTTATAAAACTACTGTAAATATATGAAAACTCTCTATAATAGTAATAAAACAGATCTATATAAAATATAAATCAATTATATTTAAGAAAAAAAAAGTACTCTTAAAACTATATAAAAATTATAAGATTTTAAGTATATTTTTAAGAAAAATTAAAAACTAATACTCTAGAGCTTTTAAAATACTATAATAAGTTAGTCTACTAACTTATTTACTTAATTTTATCCGGGACTAATATCTATATCTAATTATATTAGTAGTATATTTTGAGAAGTATTTTAAAAATAATAATTTTTTTGGGTAATAACTAGAATCTCTAAAATCTATAATAATAGAATACAATAATAATAATAATTACTATAGAATCAAGTAATTTATTAATAAATAAATAATAAGAGACAGAGAAAAAAAGAGTATAAAGAAAATTAAATATTTAATATAATAGAAAAAAATATAGATAAAAAAATAATATATAATATAATATTAAAAATTTATAAAATATATTAGAGCTAGTAAAAAAATATAAAGAATAAAATATAACTTAATAATTCTATAAGTAAATTTAGTTTATATTTAGTATATTTCTTTTATTTTATTTTTATTTTGTTATATTATTTTTAATTTTATTTAGTAATCTTGTTTTATAGATATACCATGGAACTATAGCTTAGTGGAGATAAAGCTGTAACAGTACTTTAAAAATATATTAAAATAGCTCTAAGTAACTCTAGTAACTAGATAAAATATATAATAAATTAAATATAACTTTTTTTCTTTTTTTACTACTAAATTATTAGTAGCCGATTATATTGTCTTATATAGACTTTAAAGAGAGTTATCCACTATTAATGTTTATCAATTAGAAATTAAGTATAATATCTATAATTTATATTAGTACAATACTAGACTTTAATAATATAAAAATATAACTAAATATCTACTTAAAAGTAATAGATACTAAGATATTCTTATAGATAACTTTTAAACTAGTTCATATTTATATAAGAATAACAATACTGATTTATAACTTTATAATATATTACTAGCACTAAAAATAAAATAAATTTATAAAAGAAATTATACTTTGAGAATATTTTATAATAAAAATAAAAGTACTTGACTATACAGTTAACTTTATCTATAGCTATTAGAAATTATATTATTATATATTTATAAATAATCTAGTTAATAATAATCTATATAATTTTAATCTCTAGATATTACTCGAAGATAATAATAATATTTAATAATTTTATATT